CCCAATTGGGTCGCGTCGACGCTAGCCACGCTCTCGAGCGTCCGAGCACGACAAGCTCTCTCCTCTTCAAGAGTTCCGGGAGCAGAGTCCGACTACACCAATGGCCAGCTTCCTAGAGGAGCGCCTGTAGAACTAGGTCCAGCTAGCGTTCCTTCAAGATTGCCCCACATGCAAGGCGCGACGAATGCGCAGACCTTGCCGCAGAGCAACGCTATACTTGAAGAGGTGGATGACGAGGCTTGGCTCGGTCAGGGAGCTAGATGCGACGTCGCGCTCTTGCAATGAATGAGGAACAAATACTCAAATGGACCGTTTCCTTGCTGACTTGCGCGCACTAGCAGACCTGCATGATGCTGCATGCAGACTTTTTGAAGCTTAGCATGAAGTTGTACAGCGTGAAGCAGAGGACTGAGCCTTGGACATTTGCAGCCTGCTGAGAGAGAGAGAGAATTGTGAGGCAGTTGAGTTAGATGCAAAGAAAGGGGTTGGGTGGATACAGCGAGCTCACGTGATGCTCGATCACGTCCCCACGCATGCAGGCGCGGGCTGTCTGTGAGCCCCGCACCGACTCGTCTCACGCGGGCGCACGCGCGACTTGCCCTGCTGCTGCTCGGCCCGCTTTACCGGTACCCGTGCTGGACCACGTCTGCTCGAGGGTGATCGAAGGGCGAGCTCGACGTTCAGGCGTGAATTTGGGGGGGAGCAAGTCGCACTTCCTCTTCCTTGAGACTCACGACTTCGGTGACTTGAACTGCATGGCGATCCGATCGCGATCAAGGAGGGTTCGACAGTCACGAGTCTCTCTTATGACCGCGCTTCCGTAGTCACATCAACGTTTGTACCTTTGCAAAGCACCGCCCGGCCCGGCTCCCACCCCCCACTTTCTCCTGTCGAGCCATCGTGACGCCCTGACAGGACCCCCACGCAAACTTTTGATCGCAACCTTCAAAGAAGCTCAACATGTCTGCAAGCACCAATGCAGCGCCCAGGGCCGACATGGTGCAATCCGCAGTCTCTTTTCTGCTGGATCCGGCAGTATCGACGTCCACAATGGATCAGAGACTGCAATTTCTTTCCTCCAAAGGTCTAACTCAGAGCGAGATTCAAGAAGCTCTTCGTCTATCTTCCACCACCACCACCTCTTCCACTCATCTTTCGCCCGCTCCTTCAGCTCAGGGTCAGGTCGGGCCTTTTCAACCTCAGTCGTACGCTCAGTCTGCTCCTTATTATGCAGCACCAGCTGGTCAATATGCTTATGGTCAGCCTAATCAGAGAGCCAATGATTGGAGAGATTGGTTCATCATGGCCGTCGTTGCTGGAACTGCCGGGTACGGCGTGATGAGTCTTGCCAGGGTGAGTGAGCGCATTGCAATCTTTTGCGTAGCCGCTGTGATGGGCGCTCTCCCAAGAGAGTACCATCACTACGGACCGCATGTATGCGCGCACCAACAAAGCTTCCTACGCCATTCGA